CAAAGGCCACTGTCAAAGATGCATAAAGAGGCAGTCCTTGCCCCTAAAGCTTACAATAAAAAAATACAAGACTCAGGAACAGGAGTGGAGAAGCTACAACACACAAACAAATGATCAAGATGGCTTTACTAGTTCAGTGGTGAGGTTTGACTTTTAAATGTAACCTTCATCTTTTTGACTGCTGTCCTTCATAACCATTGTTAGTTCCTGTTATAGTATTACAGTAAAAGCTGTGTTAACCGGCATTTCACTAACTGGAATACTCTATTAACCAGAATTTAATAGATCAGCGTGAGGCAGGACAAGGGTGGGCTGCGCTGCACTCTGGGCGGGTGGTGGTGGTGCTGGGACCCACCCAACAGTGGGACACACACGGCACCATGCTACACCACTTTCAAAGCAGCGGCAGCAAGGCACAGGGAGCAGGTTCCTTGCCCCGTGCACAGATAAAAGTAAGTAGATCAAAACTTACTTGCCTGCTGGGCCACCTGAGATCCTGGCTGCGCAGGGTATAACTCTCAGATAACCTGAATTTTTAGATAACTGGCACCCCCGTTACCCAACTCATGCCGGATAACAAAGCTTTTACTGTATTTTCATTACAGAAACTATCCCCATCTACTGCTCTATTTTTTCTGCTGTCTCTCATGACCTAGTACCTAATTATTACTTTGGGTTGCTTCACCACCTCATTCTCTGCCTCCCTACTCCCTATATAATCCTGTCCTTGCCTTTAGGGCCTTGACAGTCTGAGAGTGTGGACACATATATTCACCAATGTAAATTGCCTTTGCTCCAGTGTTAAAAAAGAGCAGGTGCACAACATAACTCTGTACACAAAATCTGGTCCTGCATTTCTGGAAAAAAAACAGAGGTGAAGTCCCCAGTGTTTGTGCTGTGTTTTCACAGTTATTCTAGGATAGCTGTTTGTTCAAGTTGTCTACTACCAGCTCTCTTGACAACTTCTGCCAAGGCATTATTAGAAAACTACTGCAGGAGTTACCCCAGGGATAAAAGGCCATATATCTGCTCTGAATCCCAGAGTAACATATATCAATGTACAAAATCCATACAAATTCACCAGTGTTAATACCCCATATGTACAGACCCTCTGATAAGAATGATACTGTTATAGGTAAGGCAACAAAATACAGACTCTGCATGAGTGGGTCTCATTTGTTTGCTTTGTTAAGGATAAATTCTCTGAGAAAGGAGTAGCAAATTTATGTTTTGGGTTGTTTTTTTTACTTGAAACTTAATTCACTGATCACGATGAATGTGCATATCATTATGTGGCCTCCTCATAAGGGCGGAAGGACGAAGTTGTGGTTAAAACACACGACCATGAGTCAGAAATTCTATTCCATGCTCTGCCACAGAGTTGCTCCATGACATAAGGCAAGTCTTTTAATCTCTGTTCTCAATTTCCTTCAGTTTTAAAAATGAGTGATAACATCCCTTTCCTAAATTATAGATTGGCTTGAACAATAAGACAAGAAAATAAAGGAGCCGATTTTCCTCTAACAAGCCCCCTGGACAGCATGAATGATGTCATGATAACAGGCTTTTTGGACACAAACACTGGGTGATTCAAGACCCCATCACAAAGAACGCTTTACAAGATGGAATTGTGGGTGTGCAGTAAATATATCTCCTGGTGGGTGAGAGGAGGAGGGCTATAGTTAATTTCATTTTCTTTATTTATGACATTTGTATTAGATAGTTTTGTATGCAGTCTATTAATTGTTGTCCGTGTATGCTGCATATTTTTTCATTAAATAATATTACTGGCTACTTCTAACTGTGCTGAATAGTACATATCATGTATATAACCCTTTGAGTAGGCTGCAATAAAATTAAGATTTTGAACTCTAAAATTCAAAGCTGTTTCATAGATTCATAGATGTTATGGGCTAGAAGGGACCTCTCAAGATCATTATGTTCAGTTAGGCAGGAAAGCCTGCTGGGGTCAGATGACCCCAGCAAGGTGCAAGTCCAGACGTTTTTTAAAGATACCTAGAGTAGATGATTACACCACCTCTGGGGGGAGTCTATTCCAGACCCAGGGCACTCAAGTTTTAAAGAAGTTTTTCCTCATGTCTAATCTAAAGCAGTCTTCTAGCAATGTATGACCATTAGTCCTAGTCTTCCCCTGGGGAGCCCTGGTAAACAGATGTCCTCCCAGTCCCTGGTGTGTGCCCCTTATATATTTACAGGCTGCCACCAAGTACCCTCTGAGTCTTCTCTTCTCCAGGCTGAACAGACTCATGTCTCTCAGCCCTCATCGTATGGCCTGCTCGCTATACCTCTAACCATATGCAGAGCCCTTCTTTGGACCTTCTCAAGTCTCTCCACATCCTTCCTGAAGTGTGGTGCCCAGAACTGGATGCAGTACTCCAGCTGTGGCTTCCCTAAAGCTGAGTAAAGTGGGAGGATGACATCCTTAGATGTTTGAGGTCCATTGGTAGAGGCATGCTAAGTGTTTTTGTTTGCTGGCTACGGCATTGCATTGGTGGCTCATGTTCATTCTATGGTTTATCAAAACCCCCAGGTCTCTTTCAGTTGTGGTGCTAGTAAGCGTAGCACTGGTAAGCCTGTAAGCATATTGCAGGTTATTTCTCCCCAGGTGGAGCATTTTACACTTCCCAGTGTTGGACATCATCAGGTTTTGATCTGTCCACATTGTGAACTTTTCCAAGATGACCTGTATCCCCAGCCTATCCTCCAGAGTGACCACAGTCCCCCCTTTTCAGATATGTGGGGAGCCGGAAGAAAAGCAAGGGCAACATTGGACCCCTGCTGAACCAGATGGGACAACTGACGCCCAGGAAAAAGCCAACCTATTAAATGGGTACTTTGCGTCAGTCTTTCATAAGTCCCATGGGACGTCCATGCCCACTACAGGACAGGGAGGTCCGGGTGAGGGAGATCCCCTGCCCTCCATCAATGCTGACCTCGTGAAGGAACACCTTGAGAAGCTGGATACCTTCAAGTCAGCCAGTCCTGACAATCTACACCCCAGGGTACTCAAGGAGCTGGCGAGCATCATAACCCAGCCCCTGGCATGGATCTTTGAGAGCTCCTGGTGCTCTGGTAAAGTGCCCGAAGACTGGAAGAAGGACAATGTGGTGCCTATCTTCAAGAAAGGGAGGAAAGTGGATCCAGCAAACTATAGGCCCATCAGCCTGTCTTCTATCCCGGGGAAGACCTTAGAAAAGTTTATTAAAGAGGCCATCCTTAATGGACTGGTCGATGCCAACATCCTGAGGGACAGCCAGCATGGCTTTGTTGCAGGCAGGTCTTGCTTGACCAATCTCATTTCCTTTTACAACCAGGTGACTTGTCACCTGGACAAGGGAGAAGAGATTGATGTCATATATCTTGACTTCAAAAAACCTTCGATCTGGTATCCCACCGGGCCAGGTGGTGGGACATTTGGAGCCTGGGCAGCTCATCCAGGCACGCAGGCAGGGGGGACAACTCCTGCCGCTGCAGGCACCTAAGTGGAGGTCTGGGGGCATGTGCCCCTCCCCGATCTGTGCACAGGGTAGAGGCAGCTGCTGCACACTGGGCTTTGCACCCTGAGCCCAGCTACAGCTGCTCCAAGAGCAGCATGATGCCACATGCGTCCCACCGCTGGGCTGAGCCGCACCCCTTTGCCTGCCCAGCGGTGGGACACACATGGCATTGCACCATTCCCTGGGCAGCTGCAGTGGGGCTTGGGGTGCAAAGCCCAGCATGCAGCAGCAGCCACCTCCACCCCACACACAGACTGGGGGAGGCACATGTCCCCTGGGCCTCCATAAGGGTGTGTGCAGCGGCAGGAGACCCTTGCGCACCTGGACAAGCTGCCCAGGCTCTGATCTTCCCACCAGCTGGCCCCCTGCCCCTGCCTCTGACTCCCTCCCTCCCTCACCACAGGGGCCTCAATCTGCCCTCCCCCCCTATACTTTCCCTCCCCCACAGACTGACTTGCTGGGTGGGGGGTGGCACACAGTAGATACTGGGTTGGACTTTAATTCAAAAAGTGATCTCGTACTTAAAACGGTTGGAGACCACTGCCTTAAAACAAATACTATTCCCATAAGCAGAATACCTACCCTGCTGGCTTCTGCAGACATGTTTGGTTCCCTGAGGACCTGCTCAGCCAGCCCTGCCAAATAAAACACGCTCTTTAAGCAACAAACAAAAACAAGTCCTTCCACCCTATCCCAGGCAACAGGAGAGGAACCCTTTGGATCTGTCCCCAATGCTACTTACCCCCCTCCTGCTCTCCCCACCACTTGCTTCCTCCTCCATTGCTTGCCCTTTTGGGAGCTTGTTAAAACTCTTAGAAGGACACTCCCTTCCCAGTCAAATGCCCCACAGCTGGGCTCTCTCAACATTGCTGACAGTTCTCTCATAAAGGGACACATCATCCTCTTATAATTCCTTATAAAAATAGCCAAAGCAAAACCAGCTTGCATTGTGACCTAAACAAGAGATTGGATTCAGTATGTCATGACTGTAATCTGTTCTGCTGCTGTTGCTGAAGAAGTGTCAGTCTAAACCAAAGACTTGTATGTTGGCTTCCTTAATCTTTGTATGCATATCCACCTGCCCATCATGAGGTGCTCAGCACTCACCACTACAGTTCATGGCAGTGAAAGCTGTAGTTGCACAGCACCTGGGACAATCACACTCTCAGCATTTCAAGTGTGGCTTCCAAAATTGATGGGCGTTTGGTTTGCAACATTACCCTTCTGGGCAGTTTACATCTCAATACTGTGGGGGTTAATATCCCGAGTGGCTGTTGTGTTTAATTGAGGTATTTTACACTGATGCAAGATCCTTTGATCAGAAGGTACCTGGAGTCCAAATAGTATTTCAGTTATGACAGTAAATTCAGTAAGATGCAATTAGGGCTAATTTGGCCCCATTACCTAGGACACCCTAGCTCTACTCTGTTGACTCTGCTACTGAAATGGTGTCCCTAACAAGACTATTTTCATAGTCACTTTATATGGATACATTGCTTCCCTGTCTTTCCCCAACATGCAATGTGCTTGGGATAAATGAAATAACATCCTTTGGCCAAGCACTGTTGTCAGCAAAGCAGATTCAGATACCATCAAATATATGGAGCTGTTCTTCTTGTAGCAAGGGACCCAAAGCCAAGGTGACCTGCCTGAGCTGCAGGGATTGAAACAGGGCATGGGGTTCAGGAGGTATTTCACCTGGTTCATCTGGAGTGCTCAAAGCCCTTCCCAAGAATTCATAGACTTCTAAGGCAAGATTAAGCCATTAGATCATGGTTCCCACATAACACAGGTCAGAGGGGTCTATCCAGTTACTCCTGCACTGAGCCCAGTAACGTGTGTTCAACTAAAGCATGTTTTCCTGAAAGGCACTATATTATTATCCACATTTTAATGACAGGAAAACTGAGCCACAGAGCAGGGGAGTGAATTTGTGTTGGAAGCTGCTGAGCTCCAAGAATCCTCACAATGTTGTCCCTCATGTTCTCCTCACTTCCTATCAACCACTACCTTTCGCTTTCCGTCAGGCAAGCCGAGACCATCTTATCACTCCAGCCATGTCCTGACTCCCCAGCCGGTTTCCTCTGCTAGCACTATGCTCTGCCTGTCACTGATAGGGACAGCACATCCAGCAGGAAGAGGACTATCTCCTCTTCACTGCTCCTTTTCCACTCATTTTTTCCTCTCCTGTCATTTCTTAACTCACTGGTCTCCTTTCCCCCATTACCATCACCGTCTTCCCCTCTCTCCTTACTTCACTCATTGTAACCAGTGGCTGTGCAGGAAGGCACAAGTGATCCTTACTGACCTCAGGTGCTTTAGAATTCAGTCTTCCAGGCCAGGAAGTAGCTGTGGGCTTGCAAAGCACAGCAGCCTCTTCCCTCTGGACTCATTATTAGATGGCACGGATGGGGGTGGGCTAGCAAGTCAGTCCCTCGCCTGTCCTGTTGCTACAGAGACAAGAAGAAATGTGGCCATGGACTGCAGCTCTCCTCAACAGGCCCTTGCATTGTGCTTGTGCTTCTCCAGCACCTCTCCTGGCAGGATGGCAAAGTGCCTCACAAACAAGAAAGCAAGCTTCAAGACAAGCCCCTGGCACGGCTGGCATGTCATTACCCCCAGTTAGGATGGGACGGAGCAGACCGAGAGCACTGCCTGCCGCAGGAGCACTCAGAGGAAGAGAGGGGCGTCTAGGGAGAGGCATGGGGGTCAGATCGCGGCGCGGACGCTGTCTAGCACGCAGGGACTGAATGAGCGTGGTGCTAGGACGCTGCTTCCCATTGAAAATCTTCGGCGAGCGCGGAGCGGCAGTGCGATAATCCGCAGCCGGAGAAGTGGGGCCGTAGGCTCCTCCCTGAGGCCGGGACTAACGGCTGTCTACTGGCCCCGCGCCCGGCAACCCGCCGCGGCCGCCCCGCAGCTCCGCACGGGGCCGGCATTCACGTGCCCCTCGGCACCGGGCATCCCTGAAGCTCAGCCCCCAACCGACGTCGGCCTCCCATTGGCTGCTCCGCGGCAGCTGTTACTCCGGCGGCGGGCGGACCCCTTTGTGACGTCACAATCAGCTGTTTGAACGTTCTAAATTCTGAGCTGAGCTCAGCTGGGGGAGCAGCAATAACAGGAAAATAAGAACAGCAGCTCTGCAGGCCGGGGAGGTCCGGACCCAGCAGCTGTCGCCGCCCGCCCTGGCAATGGTGCATCTCTTCTGAGAAGAGCAGAGACCCCAGCAGCACCGCCGCCTCCCTCATCCTTTTCTTGTCTCTTGGATTTTTCGTTGACCCGGTCGCTTGTTGATTTCAATTAAACTACCTCACAGACTCTGCCTAAAGCCGGTGCTTTCAGATACTTAATCTTGTGGGCTTTCCTGTGGTTTTGTTGTTTACAAAACAACCGATGACATTAAAGGCAAGGTAAGTGTCGTCCTCTCCGGACAGGGCGCGGAGGCGGGCTGGGAAGTCAGGCTTGCACTGAGCGCCGAGCCCCTTTGTGCGGCGGCCCGTTCGCTGGGCCCCATCTCTGTGGAGCGCCGAGCCCCTTGCGATCTGCGCCCGTCCTCGCATTTCAAGGCCCCCCCCCCGTGTCCGGGCCGGGTGGTTTCAGGTCTCTTTGTATTTCTCGCGCTGCGTGCGGCGAGGGGCCGCTCTTTGTGCTCCGTGCGCGGTGCGCATTGTGCTCCAGCAGTGCCCGGCCGGCCGGGACAGCAGAAGGGACGGGCTCGTGGCCGAGGCCGGGAGACGTGAGGACAAGGAGGGCGAGGTTGGTCTTTTGTTGCTACAAGCCGCGGTCTCGGGCCGGAGCGGCGAAGGCGCTCGGGACCCGTCTGTCTCCAAGGCGCAGGAGCCTCCCTCGGCTTGGCTCGGCTCGGCTCGGCTCGCCGGGCGGGGGCGGGGGAGGGGGGATGCCAAGGCAGGTCGGCGGGAGCAGACTGCTTGTTGCATAAGCGGCGATTGGCTCGGCCCCGCTGGGAAACAAAAGACCCGGCAGCGAGGTCCCGGACCAGCCTCTGGCCCCCGCTCCAGCTGCCTTTGTCTGCACTGCCGCTGCGCGGCCTGGGGTAACTGCCCTGCCCGGGAGGAGGCGAAGCGCCTCCAGGTCGGCCCAGGCGCACGGCGGGGAGCGGAGCGGGCTGCGGCTCCGGGGCGGCCCGTGCACAGAGGAGGCCCAGCTTGTGCCTGGCCCGTTCCCTCCGCCGCCCCCACCGCGGGCCGGCTGCGCTGGGACGGGATCGGGGGGCGAGAAGGGGCAACTGCCCCAGCCCCGCTTTGCCCCGCAGCGTCCTCCCTTCTGCGGGCAGCTGCAGCAGCGCCGCGCCAGCACCCGGAGCAGAGCGGCTCCCTCCCTGGGCCGGGCTCGGGCTCGGGCTCGGCTGCGCGCTCCCGGCACCGCCTCCTCTCCCCTCGCCTCCCTTCTCCTTGTTTGTTTCTTCATCAACGGATTCGGATGAAAACCTCGTCTCTGTCCCCATTGGCTCGTTGGGATTGGGAGCCTATGGTGACGTGTACTGATTTGCATTTGACATTGAGACGTCATCAAGGCCGGCCCTCCCCCACCCACGCACACTGAACTGTCCTCCCTTGACCCTTGCGGAGGGGGCGATGTGCTCAGTGCCGACACCGGCGCAGTCCGCCGAGATCTTCGGAGGCAAACGGCTTTGCCCGGCTGAGGCTGAGCCGGACCAGGGAGTCCCGCAGCCAGGAGAACTAGGCTGCTGAAGTGGGGCAGTACATTACCCTCAATCACAGCCCTGCTGCTGGCCACAACTCGGGTTTCTTTACGGCGCTGTTATTTTAAAATGTAAGGTATATAATGTGCTAGCTAACCTTACGTCTGTCATCAATCAAAGCCGATCTTTTCTCCCATACCATTAACATGTCACGACCAACGGAGCAGCTAAGCTAGTGAACTGAGCAAGATGAAAAAGGGTTTATGTTAAACATAATATAATGCCTAACCCGTTATGTGTGAGGTCAAATAAAATTAGCTGTCAAATAAAATAGGAAGTTCTTTTTTACTGACTGCCCTGTGGGACACACAGCTCTGTGTAAAAATCCTTCAAAACTGTTTCAGTTGCTCAAGAAAATCTGACCTAAAATTTTCATGTGTCCTTCCTCCACAATATGAAGCTATTCACATGCAATCTATTCAGCCTGGTGTAATAATTGCTTGGGTCAGTGACACTGTCGAAGGAAACAAGCTAGAGCAGGGGTCGGCAACCCCAGCATGGGTGCCAGAGCATGGCATGCAAAGCATGGGTGACTGGTGCCTCTCAGTTCTGGGGGGGCACCAGTGGGACATGACGCAGGGCTCCCAGCAGCAGGCTGGGTGCGGGGGTGGTCCCCCAGCAGCTGGTTAGTGAGCGCACCAGCAGTATGGTGACAAACTGCCCAAACGTGATGTGATACTGGCAGAGCCAGTTTCAAGGAGTGCTTGCTCTCAGTGGGGGCCTATGATGCAAAAGCATTTTGCTTGGCATGTGTGCCTTGGGGCAGATGGTGGGGAAGTGGCTGGGGCTGTGGCTGTGCTGCCGCAACAAGGACTGGACCCCTCACCGCTCCCCTGCCATCCACCCTGGCACGCCAACATCTTACAATTTAAGGTTGCAGGTGTTTCTGGCACTCAGCCCAAAAACATTGCCGACCCCTGAGCTAGAATTCTCTGTGTATTTAGTTGAGTGGCTAATTGCATTGTTGGACAAACATTTATTTGAAGTTTCCTGAACAACTGGATTTTCGGGATCTGAGATTTGGAACATGGGCAAGTGTTTTTCCTGAACTGGGTGTCCTTCATCGTAGTCCTGAGCCTTTAAATAGGCCTTGACAGGTTGACAGAGATGCAGGGACGGGCACTAAAATATTGAGTAAACTTCTGCAGTGTAGAGAAGGTTGTGGTATATAACAACAGCTCCCTGTTCAGCTGACGGGGTTTTAGAAGCTGTGCAGATAAAGCCTGGCTATTGAACCTGTTTAGTACCATTTCATTTACACCTGCTTCTTGGGGGGGTAAATGTCAAGTCACTAGAGCCAGGCTTTCATAAAGACCTACTCCTCAGCAGCTAAATGAATCTGCAGAATAATGGATACACCTGGGTTCTGATGGTTTTGAAAATATGGCACCAATGATGAAGTCTTAGCAACTGGAAGCTGGCCTTCAGGCTCTCACCACTAGTAACACTGGGAAGCTGTTGTTGGACATGATCCAAATCACTTTTTTGTATATTTTCCCCATTAAACAGAATCCCAAGGCAGTTTCACACCTTCTTCCCCCCCCACCCCCCGGCAAAGGAATAGATACCACCTAGGCCCCAAGTTAAGGCTTAAGGCAGTGAGAGGTAGGTTAGCTGTGCTAATCTGGAGTCAGGCAGACAAAATAGACTGTTGCCTACCAAACCTCATGCCCCTCTGAACCAGTCAGACTCCAAGCTGCTACCCTGCCCTGCCTTGTGCTAAAAACCGTGTTCAAATGGATGTCAGTAAGAAAGCAGCTCAATAAGCACTGAGTACTTTCGTAAAAAGTGTAGACAAGGACACAATAGGCAGTAGAACCCTGGTTAAAATGGGTAGGGCTTCTGTGCTTATGGAGAGGGGCATATTTCATCCCATTTGAGCTTTTCATTGTTCCATACTTGGTGCCAGTATTATCAAGAAAAATCCTGCCCTAAAACAAATGTTCTTTCACTCTCTTCCCATTTTTCCTACAACAGAAGAGAGATGCTCCTGCTCTAAAAAATGACTAGTCAAACACATATTTCATAATGTAATCAAAATTCAGGAATATCTGCATGAACATAAAGATAACAAAATACCAGAATATTTTAAGGCACAAATATCTAGTGTCTGTTGCCAAGACAAAATATGTATTTTATCAAAGAACCTCTTTGCCTCTTATTCTGCTGTTTGTTTTGCACAAACAGCCCATATTCCACCCATCCCCATCCTCACCTGAGGCACAAATAGATTTTAAGCAGATAGAAGTACCATACAGTTTACTGCAAGACTGGAAACTGTTGCATCTTGAAAGTATGACTATCAGGTACTCAGTCCTCCACATGGTTTAACATAATGCCTGTTATATTCCTTTAAGTACAAGATGCGCTTTTGAATTTACTATGCAGGCCATTTTTAAGGAAAGGGTGGAAAAGTATCTTGTGCATCAGATGTGTCTTTATTTTATGTTTTATTTTCTTCCTTAAATTGAAAGTAAAAAATTTGCATTCACCTGGAATTCAAGGTTGTTTTGTATTTGAAGAAATATGATATTGGCCTATTGATCACTTATGCAGCTACACCCAGTAATATTCTTAAAGATGTGCATCAAATGGAGGAAAACAAAGCTGCAAATGGTGAAAAGCAAAGTTCACAAGTAACACCTTAGCCCATTTTTATACCCCTGCCTTTTGAAACAAGCTTTGAAGTCCACCAATGAATATTTTTCTAGATACGGCATATGTGCAAGGAATTAAAATAAGGGATAGGTCAAATTAATCCTCTGTAAACACCTCTGACCTCAGTCAAGCTACGTGAGGGACAAATTTGACTCGGTGTATATTGCACTATGTAACTACCCAGGAATTTACACTTAACTTGGCTTCTCAGACATCCAGGTGAGAATATGCCCCCTTCAGCTACAGAAAATGGTCCATTTGGTTCAGCAAGATGTGAGGGAGAGGATTCTTAAAGAGGTATCTGCCAGTGTAAGATGCCAATGTTTTTGGAGAGAAAGTGTTCCTTTCATGTGTTACTACCATCACTATAAAGTAGTCAAGGTGCTTACTTGAATCCTTTAATTTGTTTTTAACCATGCAGAGTGTTTATTCATATCTTGCATTTCATTTGGCTTAAGTGATGAAACTGAATGGTCCAGTCTGAAGCAAAATAGACTTTTTCCCTCCCTTGAATTTAAAATCCTAATAATAAAACATTTTTCTTCTTAGACTTTCCAACAATTAATCACTTCTTTGCTTCCTATTAATTCTGAATAATCCTGAATTGGATCCCTATGGACAGACCCCTTAGCCCAGGTAGTGTCAAAGGACTCAGACACTGACATCCACTGTATCCAGTTGCAAGAATCAGCTGTAACTTTGAGCATCACACTGATACAGATAAGGTTCCCTTAGGGAGAGGTATTAATGAATTTAGAACCCTGTTGCTGAACAAATAAGTAAAAAGTTGACTTTATGTATCAAAGTTTTCTGCAACAATAAACTAGTAAAATTAACCCAACCTTGTAAAACTGTCCTTCAAACTTACCAAGTCCAGGAGCAAAATGGACTTTCCCCATATTTGCTCTGACACTGATGCCAACAAACATACTGATGTTTCCCATTTAAAAAAAAAATCTCTAGGTGAGCAGAATATTAAGAGGCTGAGTAAAAGCTTCTCACCCCAGAGTTTTTATAAGAACAAAAGAC